ATATGAGGTAGCAATCGCAGAGAGCTTTCTTGTCTTCAGCGGTGTGCAATGAAGCGGGGTCAAATGCATCGGTGGTGCAACGGCAGTGAGTAAAGACAGAGCTGGCTCTTAGGCTGAGGAAGAGGTCTCCTGGGGAAGTCCTTATTCTCCATCCAAAACTCAACAGCCCTGTGCAGTAAAGCACTGTAGGGTAGTTATTTCTGTAAGAGCAAGTGCCCTGAACCTTTACTGTTGCAAGGCGGGAACATGCAATCTCCAGACTAACTCTCCCCTGCTGCAGATAACTGGCTGAAAAGTATTTCCAGAGTAAAACTGCTTAAGGTACTGTGCATGTAAAATGCTTCTTTGGTCTTGTGTTTCAGGCCTTGGAGCCCACCACCCAGTCTCTCCATGTCCGTAGCCAGCAAGGTGAGTTTGCCGTCCTGTTACTGCTTGTCTGGGCTACGTTTGTGTTTATGGATTTTATTCTGAAGTTGTTTACTTATTTGGGAACATCTCTTGAGCTGCTCCAGAGTGAAAATTCATCCTTGTGGTATTTTTAGCTTATTTTTCTAAGGAAAGAAGCAGATGTGATTGGGTACTCTTGCTCTCCCTCTGTAACCTCTGAATTAATTTGTCTTTTCAATGGAATTTGTCCCAGGGGTTGAAGTTTCCTACATACAAAGTTCCTACGCATTTTGTGAAAATAAATGGCAGGGTAGAGGCCATTAGTGTCCCAACTAAGGACAAAGCTAATAAATTCAGCCCACGCTATATACATTGCAGAATCCACACAGGATGTTGTCACAGGAAACAGCTTTGTAATTTTGCTGCTCACAGAATGTTTCTGCTCTGATCCTCCCAGGAGGCTTGGGGAGAGGTTTTTTTTTTCTTCTTCTTCCTCTGGTAAAATAGGTGATTCTTGCCTTTTTCTCGAAACACAGAGCAAGCAGGAAGGTTTGTCCCTGTTATTCTGTTCCTGTTTTTATTGTCGTGTGAAAGTTCTTCTATGGGTTTGGGTTTTTTTTCTTTTTAATAATTTGAAAACTGCTGAGCAGTTCAGGAGCCATCCTGGAGTCCTCCAGGGGCTGTAACAGTGGCCTTGTCAAAAACTGCCCAGAAGAACAAGTCTTGTGCTCTTGCTGCCATCCTTATTACGTCTGAGGGGGCTGAAATCTGAAAGCCCACCGTGCCCGAGAGGGACAGACAATTTTACGACTTGCAATGCTTTATTTGCTGCTGAAGTCTAATCTTTCTTACTGTGCCTGGAACAGCTTTGTTCCCTTCTAGTTATACCGTTCGGAGTTGTGGGCAGTTGGTGTCCTTTTTATCTTTGCACTTCCTGGGACCTCACAGCAAACATTGGTTTATTAGCTGTCACCATGTGGCCCGCGTATGGGGAGAGCTGGGTGGAGCAGGGGGAGGATGCAGGCAGGGCTGGGGCTCCTCTCAAGCGAACAGCAAGGTGTTTATGACCTTGAGGTGTGGTGCTGGGACTAATAAGTACCACACCATGTGTGATTCTGGGCATGCATCTCCTCCTTCTAGGAGCCGGTAAGTATTTATAGCCAGAAAGGTCTCGTGTGGTGCAGCTCTGCTGTTGCTACCTGCCGCCGCCGCGGTGGTCAGTGGCAGAGCTGTGGGTGTGAGTATTAATCAGAGAATCGTGGTTTCCGTTCTTCGGAAGGCTGAGTTAAACATCTAGTTTCAGGTGTTTGTCATAGTTGAGAAATTCTTGCTCAAAACGTTTAGTGAATCCTGTTCTGTGGCCACGGGTGGCACGGAGATCACCAGAGCTATTCGGCAGCAGCCTGGCTAAGTTGTGGTGTAAGGAGGGGGTGGTTCGGACCTGGCGCTTGTCTCTGCTGGCTGCTGTGGCATTCACCACCTGAAACCGTCTCGCTGCTTTCTTACATCTTTAAGCGTAACCTCTTGAATCTGAAGATGCCGAAACTACCTGGAAGGCAACTAGCTTTTCCCCTTGGAATTGTCTTTTCCTTTCCCCATGCTAAGAGCCACCGGTGGAAGTAAGGGAACAGGATTCTTGGTCAGATGCGGCTGCTAAATGGAGTGCGAGCAGTTCAGGAAATTGAACTTCCCGCTGCAGGAGCTTGGGAAGTTCATTTGTTAACCCTACACAGCATTCAGCTCCATGACTACTGGAGAAGTCTTGGGGAAGAACTGTGCCCGTCTGAACTGAGCTATGATGAGCGATGGTTTAACTGAAAACCTGGTTTCCAAAGAAAGAGCAAAAAATGACTCCCTGAACACGCTGGCTGGAGTTACTTTGGTACTCTAAAGGAGATGTGTTTGGAGCCAATCTGTGATGCACTGTGAAATTAACTGTCAGCTTAAAACAAAACGATAAGATGGGGGCCCTATTTCCAAAGTGTCTTTATGTAAAACAATTTTTTTTTTATTAGCAAGGAGGAATTAAAGGGGAAAGTTGAGATGCCAGCTTTGAAATTAAAAGCCAGATGCTGTGCAACCGTCCTGAATTCCTACTGGAGTAGTTCCCGGGTTTACTTGCGTAACCTTTCCTAGTTCTCATGGTCGTTTTTAGCAATTACGGGTGGTCCTTTCTCTGTTCTGTGCCTTGCAAGCGTGATGGTATTTGGTCTATTGTTTTTCTACTGACTGAGGGTAACTTTTGTTTGCATAGATTTTCCAGTAGTCGATGCTTGTCCTGTCTGCTACCTTCTTTTGAACAGGACTATTTTGTTTCCTCAGCATTTCTCTCATCATGAGTTCCGAATTAAACGTGCCGGTGGATCCTTCCACTCCTGCTTGCTGCTCTGAACCTGGCACAAAAGGCATGGATTATCGGGACTGGGTCCGGCGCAGCTATCTGGAATTGGTCACATCAAACCACCACTCCGTTCAAGCCCTTTCGTGGAGAAAATTGTACCTGAGCCGAGCCAAACTGAAAGCTTCCAGCAGAACCTCTGCTCTGCTCTCTGGATTTGCCATGGTATGTGTACTTTGTAGCAACGCTTTCTGGATCGCGAAGGTTTTGGTTCTGTAAAATCATCTATTAATCAGTGTTTTCCTCCTGTGAAGAAGCAGGACATACTGTTGTTTTCTGAAGAGGCGGGAGGCATCTGCCTGGGTGCTTCTGCTTGGCCGCTGCTGAAAAGTTTGGGGCTGGCTCTCTCAAGGCAGCAACGGGTACGTGAGCTGCCTAACAGTCAACCCACATGCTCCCAAGTCAGCCCTTTAAAAATACTAATCCCTTACCTGCAAATGAACCCAAGTGCTCCACCAGTGTTGCTAAATAATCCAGGACCTGGGCTCTCCTTTGGGCCCGAGGCCAGTCGTCGCTGGCTGCCTTCGCATGAGGTTGCACTTGGGCGTGGAGCTCCTCCAGGCCCCTGCAGTTGCTGTGGTCCTGAACATCATCTTAATTTCTGTATGTGTTTTTTCAGGTTGTGGTGTCTAAAATAAGGTGGAGGTTGGGTCACAGTCTGCCAGAGCGGAGTTTGCGTAGCGTGATCGGGGAGATCGTGTTATGCACTGAAGTGTGAGAAGAGGCCCTGCAGCCTCAGACCCGGTGTCAGAGGAGACTCTAGCCTGAAGGGAGACAAACTGGGTGTATTTTTGTCAGTGCTGCCTATTGGGAATAAACCCTGGTATTTGCTTTCCTCCGTGCAGCGCTTGGGTGTTATCTGGAAGCTATCTGCATAGGTCAAAACCACGTCAGGGAGCGAGCAAATAGACAAGACAGACAGTCAGTGGTCCGGTGTAAGCCTCTTCATCTCCCCTCCGGTTCTTGCTTATCGGGAGTGAGAATTGAAACCTGTTTGGGGGAGGTTTTCTGCTCAGGAAATGGGCAGGTCTGGTGGTTCCTGAGATCTGTGAGCTGAATGCAGAGAGGCAAGGGGCAGCGCCTGGGTGAGCGGGACGGGATGTGAAGATCTTGCATCCTGCACCTCAGGAGCAGGGGGGGAAAGACAGATCTCGGGAACTTTCCGGGTAGCTTTCCTGGTTTTATTTTAGCTTCTTCCACTGCTTTTTCCTCCCTCAATCCCCCAGAACGTGAATCATCTGTAACATTACAGCAGTCCGTTTGGGATGACAAAGTTGGTCACCCAAAGTGAAGTTGGAAAAATGCAAGCGGGGAGTTAAGTGGGAGCAGGCTGCAGGGGAGAGAGGGTGCTCGGTTGCTTTGCGATTCCTCTCTGCTCGCTGACTGCGTGCATGCGATGCTTGTAAAAACTTTTCACGCAGCGTATGTTTATCTGTAACCAAGCTTGTGTGCTGAAATGGCAGAAGGTACCTCCTTGTTTTGAGAAAGTTGAGTGCTCTCCTGTAGATTTCTTTCACTCAGAAGCCTTCTTACTTTAAAAAGCTGCTCATGTGCTTGCCCTCCGTGCCTCTGGGTTACCTGAGTTCCGTGTTAGTCATTTGTGACTGTTCTCTTTAACATGATTATTAGATTAATGTTTTGTAGTGTTGTGAACTCTTGCTCTATCTAGGCAGCGTGGTTACACAAGCAGGTGCCCGTGCCGGGGCGTGCTGTCGCTGGGACTTGGGGGGGGGCGGGGGGCTTGCAGCCCACCCACGCTGCAGGGCTGAACCACATATCTGAAAACAAAGCGTGCCTTCTCAACTCACACAACAGAAAGTTGCTGCAAGTCCTTGGTAAATACACAAAACCAACCATTTGACTTCTATTCTCTTTAAACTGTTTAAAATGCAAGTCAAATTAACACTACTCATACCTGTGTGTTTATTATAATCACCAGCTTAACATAAGTACACCGGAAATCAGTAATTGTTAGAAATAAAAATTTTTGCAATAAGGAATTTTCTTTATTAGCAAGCTTTTTCCCAGCTGATCGTACTGGACCTTCCAGTGAAAGCTGAGGTAACTATTCCTACCGGGCTATTTCTCCGCTGGTAATTTGGCACATAGGTATTTGGTACACGGATGTTTACTCTCTAATAACAGCATCTATTTGGCTATTGATGAAAGTAGAGAAGTTATTTAGAGTTAAATAGTTTCCCTGTGTGCATTTAACTATGTAAACAAATGTCATACAGGGCTTGGCTATTGCTTCATTTACTTCCATGTCAGTGTGTTTGATTCAAGCCAGTTCCGTATTGGCTGAAAATTATTACGAGCTGATGGATATTTAATCAACAGGCAGTGGCTTTGATCCAGCTCCTTCTGGACAGGCTGCAGAATAATGCGAGCCTTGCTCATTACTCGATGCTATCTCTGGTATTTCTGGCAGAGTTGGGCAGATCAGGAGGATGTGGGTCCTTTCCAGTGCCAGGTTTGTTTGGAGGTGGGCTGTGGGGCTACTGCATTTGCCTCAGGGAGACTGCCGACAAAGGAGATTGAGAGGGAGCTTAGAAAGCCTCCTTAATTATTTTCCTGATGGAAATAATTAGAGCTATTACTGCTAGTCAGTCTTCTCGATACTTGTCCAATTGCTACAGGATATGTATTTGATTTAAAAAAAAAAAAAAATCCAACCGCTCTCCTTGAGTGATTGTTTTTAGCGGCTGCCAAACCATCTGTGTGAATGTAACATGGTTTATGTTAAGCCATTTGTCGTCCTTTTGCCTGATACTATCTATCCTGGTCTAAATTTCTCAAGATGAGCAGCAGCTTTGTTGTGGACAATCAGGGCTATACTGGTCTAAAAAAACATAATTGCATGTAATTTAATTGCAGTTTAATTCTAAAATGTTCCGAGCGCTTGGTCCTTTAGCAAACCTGTGAGCGTGAAGTTCGACAGGGCGATTCTCAAGCTTAAAATTAAGCCTATGCTGAGATATTCTGTGGCTTGGCAGAGTGCTCAGTGCCTTGCAAAGTCAAGCCCTTGACACCTTGGTTACAATAAAGGGGGCTGTTATCACGGAAGAGTATAATTGTATCAAACATGACACGTTAATAGTTTTACAGACTAAGCAGCATATTTAATGATTTTTAAATGGGTTATGTCAGCTTGTCCTCTTTCTCTTATCCCGGTCAGAGAATGACATGACAGTCTGTACGGGGTAAAGCGATAAGAGCTCACTCACCTTTCCAGTAGTTGTTCGGGTTAAATGAATTGTTTTTCTGCCTTGCTGCCCTATCTGGATTGTTGATGTTTTTCCCTGAAATACCTCTTACTGAGCCATCAGTCAGTGTTAAAAATTCATCACATTGCACAGCTGAAGCTAGCCCTAGGGAATAGGTTAGTCTGGGAGGAAACATCCAATTAGCTGAAAAGTGCTGCTCATGCGAAGGATAACAAGTAGAAATTGATATGTTGACATCAGCCAGGCTTTCAGCTTTAATATGAAGCTATAAATTGAACACGCAGGTACAGTTCCTATTCAGCTTGCTGAATACTATGTCTCTGGGTATTACAGCACCCAATAATGAACAATATACCTGCAGCTTTTCCTGGCTGATAGGGTGTGACTGACAATCACAGCACTGTACAAATTCATTTTACAGAACAGTGCAGCGGAGAATAAGTTTGATCTCCTCCTCCTTGAATCAATACAGGGGGATCTGCAAAGAGAACATGTGCAAGGCAATGTGGCATGTGTTTTAATTAAATGGACCTTGCAATAGATGGTGAAGCCAATCCTGTGTTGTTATTTTCTCCGCTACAGAAAAAGAACTACTGTAAATGGCAAACAGGAACCTTTAAAAAACAACAATAAAAAAGTAAAACCCCCACATGTTCACAATCAGAGCAAAAGGCTGGGAATGTCCAAGAGATGCCACAATATTCTTGGTGTCTCTAACATCCTAAATAGTTGACATAGGTATAAAATCTGGACTTGCAGAGATGGACCATTTGCTGCCCCAAACACACACATTATGTCTGGTTGCTACTAAATGTGTTCAGACTTGACTGCGATCCCCTCATTTAGATCCCCTCATTGGCTCAGACAGGTGTACTCTGTGCTGGGTGAAAAACTAGCTGGACGGCTGGGCCCAGAGAGTTGTGGTGAATGGAGTTCAATCCAGTTGGCGGCCGGTCACGAGCGGTGTTCCCCAGGGCTCAGTTTTGGGGCCGGTCTTGTTCAATATCTTCATCAATGATCTGGACGAGGGGATCGAGTGCACCCTCAGTCAGTTTGCAGGCGACACCAAGTTGGGCGGCAGTGTTGATCTGCTCGAGGGTAGGAAGGCTCTGCAGAGGGACCTGGACAGGCTGGATCGATGGGCCAAGGCCAACTGTATGAGATTCAACAAGGCCAAGTGCCGGGTCCTGCACTT